CCTCCTCGCTGCACGCGCTGCACTCGTGAGGGTCTCCAGACATGGCCGACGGGGTGCCGGGGGACTCGGGCGCCAGCGAGGCGGCCGAGGCGGGCGCCCCCGCCCAGGAGCCAAACGCGGCGGCGGCGGCGGCGGAGGAGGAGGGCGCGGGCGCGGGCGCGCACGCCGCGGCGCGCGGGCCGGCGGCCTTGGCCATCATCTGCGGGTGGGGAGGGGGAGGGTGGCAGGGCGGCGCGTTTGGAGGGTGTCTTAGGGGTGGGCGGCTCCCGTCCGAGCGCTGCTGCGCAGCACCCACAACAGACTCTTGCCGGCAGGGCGTGGGGTGGGCACACTTGTTATTCAGCAGGTGGCCGCGCCGGCGCCCTCACCTTGCGCACAGAGTGCTGCCAGATGTTCTTCAGCTTCAGGTGGCTCAGCGGCTTGTCCAGGAAGTCGACGGCGCCCAGCTTAACGGCGCGCATGACGTCGTCGGGCGTGCCGCAAGCCGACATGAGCACCACCGGCGTCTCCTCAAACGCGTCCACAAAGCAGCGGCCCACCGACTCGTCGGCGGCCACGATGCGGGACTGCGGGGAGGCGGGAGGAGGCGTGGGGGAGCGGGGCAGGCGCGGTGGGCGCGTGGTACTCGCGAAGCGGCGCGGGCCGGCGGCCTGCCGCAGATATTTGTGGCGGCGGGACCGGCGCGGCCGGCGGGCTGCCAGGGGCTGGAGCGGCGCACGGGGCTGGCGGTGGGGTGGAGATCTGGTGCGATGGCGGCCCCTGGGGCCCCAGCCTCACCTCTGCAAGAACTACATCAAAGGCGGCCACCCCCGTGCGCAGGTAGCCCAGGGCTTCCGTGGCAGAAGAGACCGATGTGACTGCGGGGTGCAGGGGGAGGGCTGGGGGTGAGGGCGGGGCCTGCAAGCGCCTTGGGGCGCGGACTGGGGGAGCGCCCCCCATGCGATGCTTCTACTCGTCTCTCACCCGTGTATTGCAGGCTGGGGGACTCCAGCTGTGTCCTGATGGAGGAGCAGCTGTGCATGTCGTCCACCAGAAGCACGCGGAGGCCCTGCAAGGGCGGGGCGGGGGGCTGGGGTTGCCATGGTGGTTCTGCGGTTGGCAGGCCACCCCGCTGCGCGGATGGGCCCCGGGAGGCCACAATCGCCACAAAGGCCGCACCTTTGGGAACTGGGAGGAGCCAGCCATCGCGCTAGTAACACACACCCACACAAGACGCACAGAACACGCAGATAGACCGCTGTCCTGCCTCAGCCGCAGTTCAGCATAAAATAACAAAGGAAGTGGCTGCTTGGGGGCACTCCAGGCGCAGCGGAAAGCTGGGGACCAAAAGTGCATGCTCGCGATATGGTCCGCTCCCCCTTGCTTTTCACGCCCCAATTGGCCACGGCATGCATGTAAGGCCGGCCCGGAAGCAAGTGGAGGGGGTCTGCCTGAGGGCGCCAAGGCCACCTGCTGCCCTCGGAATGCCGGTCCCTGTGTGCTCGCAGGCCGCGGAAATTGGGGCAAACCGCAAAAGAATGCGCCAACAGGGGCGCGGGGTGCCGCCCCCGCCGCGGGGGGAATGTGGGCGGTAGGCGGCGGCGGGGGGCCGCAGGGCCGTGTGCACCGCTGCACCAGAGTGCCTCGGCGCAGGGAGCGACTGCTTGGGCAGCCTGCCATGCCCAAGGATCATCTACTGATCCTGGGATTGGTGCAACCTGCAAGAAAAGGAGCTGGCCCTGGCGAGTTGGTGGAACTCCCGCTCCCGCACCGCGCCCCACACGTGTGGCAAGTCGCAGCGCACCCCCAGTCGTGATGCCGGCTGAAAACACCTCTCCTGCCCTCCACTTCTGTCTCGTTGACCCGAAGGTTCTAGGCCTCACAAAATGTGTCGAAGCTGTGTTGAAGTGGTTGCAGCGGTAGGAGAGGAGCAAGGGGAACGGACGGCCCAGCAGGGCGCACCGAACACGTGAACAAAGAGCGTGGCACGGCGGCGCCGTGGCGGGGCGAGGAGGGCGACAGAGGGCGGCCTGGGCCGCGGGCACAAATGAAATGGCAGCGCATGCGCTCGCTAAGGCGGGAAGGCATCTCCCGAGTGCGCCGGCCGCATGCTCAGCCGCAGCAACCATGTTAGGCACATGCCGCAGGTGTGCAGCAAGGCCGGGGCTGCGCTGCAACGCGGCCGGAATGGCGGTCGCGATACAGGAGGGGGCCGGGAGGAAAGCTCCAGGCTGCTGCCGGGTGTAGTAGCGGCCAGGGCGCCACCCGCTGGCTGTGGAAGCAAAGCTGTGGAGCAGCCTCACGGCCACCCGTGGGGAGACGGAGCTGGCAGCGCGCGGCCCCCCTCACTTGCTGAGCCAGCCGGGCTGCGCCGCGCCGTTGCTGCTGCCGCCGCTGCCGGGCGCGGGCTTGGCAAAGGCCTCGTGCTCCATGATGGCCTCAAACAGGCGCGTGCCGCGCAGCGCGTTGGTCAGCGGCAGGTGCCCCTTGACCGCATCGGCGCTATAGTTGAACTCGCTGGGCCACTTCCTGCGGGGCGGGGATGCAAGGCAGGCGGAGGGGGCAGGGAAGGGGTCACGGGAGGGGGCAGGAGGCTGGCGGCGCAGGGCCGCGGCCGGCGGGCCCGGGTGGGGGCGACCGGCCTGCTACGCCGGCTGGCAGCTGCCAGCTTGCCAGCCTGCCCGCAGGCCTCAAGGCACACAGCCCTGAAAACGCACAACACACCCACACATGCACACACACACACACATGCACGCGCGTGCCCCAGGCCCACCCACCTGTACACGTTGTTCTCCCCCTGCACCCAGTCAATGGCCTTGAAGAACTTGGGCCACTGCCGCGCCTTCTGCACCCACACCTCGCGCTGCGCGCTGTACCCAAACTTGCCGCCGCTGGCCGCGCGCCACAGCTCGTCCAGCGTGCGCAGGTCATCGGCTGCGGGGGGGGGCGGCGGGGGGGCGCGAAGGAGGGGTGGTGAGGGGTGGGGGTCGTGAGGAGAGGGATTGGTGTGAGAGGGAGGCCGAGCGCACATGGGAGGCTGCATGTGTGGACGCGGCCAAAGGTTCCAAAGGCTGGAGGGTCAGGCGCGGTTGGCGCAGGGGCTGGCAGTACTAACAGGGCGGCGGTGGGGGCGCCGCACCTGGGATGAACTTGACCTCGCTAAAGTAGACCCAGCCGCGGCGCACTGCTGCGGGGCCTGCCGCCTGTATCAAGAGCTCCCGCGTCTCGTCCTCCGCCTCGCGCCACTTCCCCTCCTTGAGCAGGTCGCGCAGGCTGCTGTAGTCCACCTCCACCTGTGGGCGGGCGACAGGCAGGCGGGGGAGGCAGGCAGGTGACACGGGGGAGGGCAGCGGGCAACGTGCGGGGCTGCTTCGCCAGCCCCAAACCCGGTGCTGGCTGCATGCATGCCTCCAGAAGCGTGCCGCTGGCTGGCATGTGTGTGCTTAGGGCTGGGTTGCTGCGCTTGGGTGTGGCATGGGCAGGGGCGGGAGCAGGAGCAGGAGCTGGCTCACCCCCGACTCGAGGGGCACATCGTCCAGAGTGATTTTGGGCTTGCTGCTGCTGGGCGTGCCCAGGGGGCTGCCGAGCGAGGAGCCGCCGGTGCCTGGGGCCTTGGGGCCCAGCAGGCTGCTGTTGCTGGTCAGGCTGTTGCTGGTCAGCAGGCTATTGCTGTCCAGGCTGCTGGCGCGGACGAACAGCGCCGCCGCCCGGCGGCGAGGGGCGGCCGCCGCGCGCTGCTGCTGCGCGCCTTGCCGCTCCTCCCTTGCAAGCCCGGCGGGCTGAACCGCCGCCGGGGACGCCAGAACGAGCTGCATCGCGAGGGTGAGTCGCGGGCGCTGGTCTGGGTGGTGGAGGGGGCTGTTTGGGGGCTCGCGGGGGGCTGCAACGAGCTGTCCCGTGTTGGTTGATTGGTGTGAGGCGGTAGGCAAGCACCAGAGCTGTGGTTTGAGGACGGACCTATCACCTCGACAGGGTCTAGCCAAGATAAGCCCAGCACAGCACACAGTTCACGGGCCGATTTCAGGCTCCTGGGGCCCGATCCGTCCATCCAGGCTTGATTCCCACACTCCCACAGCCCGAGAGGGCCCCTGTCAGCGCCATCTGGGCGAGGTGCACCGCCCGATCGGTCGCAGGGTCTTGCCCTCTCCGCCAAAGCTGCTCCAGATTGGCTCCGAGGCTGCAGGAAGACGGCTGCCTCAGCCCCGCCACCCTGACCCAGACGATGTCGTTTGAGATGGCACTGCCGCACCCGCCCCGCATCCAGCACGTGGCGGCAGACGGCACCGAGCAGGTTGCCCAGGATGAGCAGCAGTGGGCCCTTTACTACACAGTGCAGCGCGCGCTGCAGCAGGTGGGCACCTGTAGGCAGGGGCAGGCAGCCGCAGGCTGGGACAAGCGCTGTTGCTCGCTGGTCCAGCACCGTCTGCGCCGCCAGCGAGCCGGCACCCTCACTGCGCTCTGCCCCCAAAAGCAGACGCATGTCGGATTGCTGCGTGGAGTTGCTCTCAAATTGTTGCTGGAATTCCTGTCCACCTTCCCCTCACGGCTCCACAGGAGGCGGCAGGAGAGGAGGCAGCTGGCGGCGGCGCCGCCGCACAGGAGGGCGGCAAGCCCGCCGCCGCCGCGCCGCTGCCTCACGACCCGCAGAAAGTGCTGGGGAAGCTGATGACGGCGCGGGTGAGGCACTTCCCCACATTGCGGCTGCACAGGGCTGCCTGCCTGCTTGTTCGCTCGCACGCTGATGCCTCCACACCCACTCCACAGCCCCGCATGCCGCCATCACCTGCGGCACGCCTCCCACCCGCCCCATGCTGCGAGCAGGGCGAGTTGGATGTCATCACCGACCTCATAACCTTTGTGGAGCAGCAGCAGTTTCTGGCGGTGGAGGGCATGCACCGGCACCCGGCCAGCCTGCAGGAGCGGCTGCGCGCCCGCGCCCTGCGCCTCGCCGCCTCCAAGCACCAGCTGCACGCCACCGCCGCGCGCCTCGGGGCGGGGCTGGCGGCGCTGCAGGTGGGGGCCCACCTGGGCGGGCGCCAGGCTAGGCGGGGCAGCGAGGCCGGCGCAGCGCGCGCGTCGCCGCTGCGTGCCGCAGCCCCTCTCGCGCGACCCTGTCCCAAACCCACCTGCCTGCCTGCCTGCCTGACTGGCTGACTGACTGCCTCTCCCGCCCTGCCACCCTGCTTTCCTTTCCTCCCCAGGCCCAGTCCCAGGTGGACGACCGCTTCCTGTCAGACCTGGCGCAGCTGCGGCGGCGCTGGAAGCTGCGGCGCCACGCAGGCGGCGCAGGTGCGTGAGTGCGCGGGCAGGCGGGCAAGGCGGGCGGGCAGGCGGGCTTCCTCCTTCATGTTGCCCATCCACAGTGGCCTGCCCATCCAGCTAAAGCTTGAAAGGATTCATCTCAGACCTCGCCTGACGCGACCCCGCCCCTGCCTGCCTGCCTGCCTGCCCGCCACCCCTCCCTCCCCATGCAGCCGGCATGTTTTACGCCGACATCGGGCTGCCGCTGCGGGGTGCGGCGGCGCAGGGAGTGTCGCAGGACGGGGCGCAATGCAACATCATTCAGGTGGGGCTAGCAGCAGAGCTTAGAGAAAAACGCCAAGTGTGCTGCTTGTGGCCTCTCGTCGGTGCCAGTCGGCGCCACCACGGCTTGAACCAAGCTGCCCAGGCCGCACACGAGCAATGCCGCTAATGTGCCGCGGGGTGCAGGACACGAATGGCGATGCGTGCATAGTGGAGGCTGCCGCCGGCGGCAAGCCCCGGGCGGTGCGCGGCTGGGAGCAGATCCACGCCGTGCTGCGGCTGAAGCAGCGGCTGCTGGCGTGGCGCGTGCTGGGGCAGATGCTGGCCGCGCAGGCGCGGCTGCCGCGGCACGAGGGCGACGCCGACCGTGCGGTGGCGGCGGTGCAGCGGATGGCGGCGGCGGCGGCGGCTGCCTGCCATGCGGCCCTGCTCAGCGCGGTGGCAGGCAGCAGCAGCGGCCGCGATGACGGCGGGGACGGGGAGGCGGCGGCCATGGAGGTGGATGGTGCATCGGGCGGCAGCGGTTTGCAGGAGGAAGGGGGAGCCGCGGCGGCGGCGGCAGAGGCAGAGGCAGCCCTGGCGGCATCCGCGCTGCCTGCCGGCATGCTCAGCTCCACAGCGCTGGACATCCAGGCCGCGCTGGCTGCCCCCGGCTTCCAGCAGCAGTTTGAGAGCCGCGCGCTGCTGCTGCTAGCGCAGCTGCTGCCGGGAGGCGGCACTGGCGGCCTTGCTGCGGGCCAGCAGCAGCAGCAGCAGCAGCAGCAGCAGCAGGGTGTGTTAGACAGCCTGTTGCAGTGGCTGCGCCACGCGGCGCTGTGCCACCGGGTGGGCGGCGCGCTGCTGAGCTGGCGTGACGCGGCGGGCGGCAGGTCGCTGCGCCGCATCCACAGCGGCGAGGAGTTTGCGGCAGTCTGGCAGCTGCCGGGCGGCAGCGGGGCAGTAGCGGGAGAAGGAAAAGCAGCAGCAGGCGCAGCAGCAGCAGCGGCGCCGGTGCTGGTAATCGTGCAAGGAGGGCAAGTGAGGGTGGAGGGTGGCGGCCGGGCGGTGCAGGTGGCTCGGCCCGCCGCTGCGGCAGCCCATTGCGGGCTCTCCAAAGCGGAGCTTGAACGCTTCCTGCTGGCCCTGTAACCCTTGTTGTCTTTTGGTTGATAAGGAGAGGAGTCGAAGTCGGTTTGGCAGAGGCAAAGAGGTTTTTTTCGCCGTGCCGCCACATGTGTCCGCCGCGCCATCTCAGCACCGCCACCTCACACGGTGCGCAAGACGAGCCAGGAGGGCTTTGCCCCCAAAATCAGTACCATCGGCGCCAAATTGTGTCGATTCTCGAGTGGAGGAGGGTCTGCAAGCCTGCCATCCCGGGCGATCTCCACCATCTCCGAGCTCTGGACCAGCAGGCACTTCTCTTGATGGCTGAATTCAAGAAGGCAAGGCGCAGGGCGCCGCGCCGCCAGAACGCAGCTCTGCTAGCCGTTTCTTGCCGACAGTTCTCACGCCCCGGCCCGCAGCCTGCCCGTTTCCCCATCCGCGCCTCCAATTATGTGCTGCGTGCCCGCGGGACGGGCGCCGCGCGCGACACTTCCTGCTGTTTGGCAGGGGCGGTGGGCCCCAGCGGGGCCCCAGCTCCGCTGCTGGCCGCTGGCACTGCCACACCCTTGCCCTTCTCTGGCCCGACCAACCCTCTCCCCACAGTAGAGGAAGCGCCACTCAGCTTAGCCGCCCGCTATGGAAGTTCCACGCAGTCATGCGCCGCCCCGCAGTCCCCCGCCCCCCACCCCGCTCCGTGCCGCGGCCCCTGCTGCGCCTCTGCAGATCATCCCCGCCTCGTGCCTCCAGGGCAGCGGCCTGGTGCTGCCGGCCGAGTTCAGGGACGAGGTGGTGAAGGATTCGGGCGCCTACACCCTGCAGAACTCGCAGGGCAAGCAGTGGCCGTGCACCATCACCCGCAAGACGCAGGTGGGTCGCCGGCAGCGCCCTGCATGCGGGCTGCATGCCACGCTGCGCCGCTGGGCTGCCGCAGCCACCAGCGGCGAGCCAGGCTCCAGGCCAGGTCCCCTGCTCTCGCTGATGGCAGCGCTCCGACCCGCTCCGCCACGCCCGCCGCCTCTGCTCCGCTGCACGCCACGCCTGCTGCCTCGCCAACCCGCGCCGCCTCGTCCGCCTCGCCGCAGGGCGGGCACGAGCGCGCCGACATCACCGGCGGGTGGCGCCCCTTTGCCAGCGCCAACGCCTTCCAGGCGGGGGACGAGATACTGGTGAAGAGCCTGGGCAACCGCGTGCTGCAGGCAAGCTCTCCGCGCTCAGAGGCGGGCCACACAACGTCTAGGCGTTTGCGGGGTGCTCCACAGCCTGCACCAGATCGACTCGAGCCCAGCTGCCCGTCCAGCTGGCTGGCAGGAGTGTGCAGGTGCAGGCTAGACCACCCGCCGACCCCTGCTGTCACCCCTGCCTGCCTGCCCCCCCAGCCGTCCCGGCTGCAGATTACCAAGACCGGCCGCACCGGCACGCCCAAGGGCACGCCCAGGGCCGCCAAGACGCCCGCCAAGACGCCCGCCAAGACCCCCAGGAGCAGGTCGGCGGGCAAGCCCAAGTCGGCCAGCAAGACGCCCGCCTCTGGTGGCGTGGCCAAGCGCCGCGGCAGCAGCAGCACGGGCCGCAGGCGGCAGGCGGCGGCGGTGGTGGCGGCGGCGGAGCCGGAGGGGCCAGAGGAGGCCGAGGTGCCGGCGGGGCGCCTGCCGCCGTATGTGCCGCCTGCGGGCGAGTACATGCAGCCCATCTGGCCCACCTGGTGCTCCATCATGTGAGCAGGCCAGGCTGGCTGCCTGGCTGGCTGGCGGGGAGCGCCTAGCAGCCAGCTGCAATGGGCTGGCTGCCAGCGTGGGCACGCCAGCCATGCACCGCCGCCCCTGCTGCTGCAAGCCTGGGCACGGCACGACTGGCTGCAAGCCTGGGCACGGCATGCTGGGCAGCGGCCAGCTTGCTTCCTTAGTTGCGCACCTGATTCCTGGACTTGTTTTTTTTGGCTCCCCAGCACTTGTCTGACGCACACCACACACCAAACGGACCGCCGACTGGGCGCACGTAGTTGCTGACCTGCTCACAACCTCACCACCGCACGCCCCGACGCTGTTGCTGCCCCCGCTCTTCCCCCTCGGATCCTGTGTGACTGCTCATTATATCCTACTCCAAAAGCGTGCCAAAGCGGCTGTCTTTGTGGCGGCAGCACAGGGCGCAGGCGGGCTACACTCCTTGCGAGTTCAGAGGACCAGCAGCTGTGGCCGTCCCCTCTGGCTCACAGGTTGGAGACGGCCGCCGGCTGCTCCGCGGCGGGCGCGGCTGCTGCGCCCTGCTGCTGCGCCTGCTGCTGCGCCTGCTGCTGCGCCTGGTGCTGCGGGAACCAGGGCCCCTCGTGCGCTGCCCACTGCCGCATGAGGTGATGTGCGATGGCGATGGGGGGTGGCACGAAGAAGGGAGGGGCGGGGGCGGCGGAGGAGGAGGATGGCGGCGGCCCCTTGCCTCCATAGTAGGGGCTGTGTGGAGAGTCGCTGGCCGCCACCGCCTCTGCCACCTCTGCGGCCGTCCAGCAGCAGCAGGAGCATGCAGAGACGGTCAGCCCCACAGCATCGGCCAGCAGCACACTGCACTGGTGCTCTGCTTGATGCCCTCATAGCAGCGCTCTGGCTATCCTCCCACCAACAACACACCCTCCACCAGCCGTGCCGACGTGCTGGCTCCTCCCCACTCACCCGCCTTGCTGACCCACCGCACCTCCTCCATCTCCTGCACTGGAGGAGGCAGCACAGCATACGTGAGCGGGGCACAGGGCAACAATTCAACAGATGCGGCGCTGTTGAGTGGGGCAGCGCATGCAGGCTGCGGGCTGCGGCAAGGGGCTGGAAAGCGCGCCTCTGTGTCCATGCGGATATCGGTGGCGGCAGCCCGCGCGATGCACCCAATCATCAGCTCGCAGCTCCCGCCCCGACCTGCAGCCACACATGCACACACATGCACACTTGCTGAGAGCGCGGCGCCCATGGCTGGAGGCACCGCCTCAGGGAGGCAAGCGGCATGGTACCAAAGGCAATCAACAGCGCCAGCGCCAGGCACCAGCAGCAGCAGCGGCAGCTGCGGCAGATTGCAGCGCGAGGGCTAGCAGCAGCGGCAGCGGCAGGCTCTGCATGGGGCCTCACCCACAGGCCACGGCTGCGAGCCCACAATGTCCACAGCCGCCACCTCGACCCCCGCCTCCTCCCGCGTCTCCCGCGCCACCGCCTCCTCTATGCCCTCACCCTGCACCGCACGCCGCAGCCCGCAGCCCAGCCTTGGCCAGCCTGCGGGGCTGCCAGCCTGCGGGCTGCCAGTGCTGCAGCCAGCGCGAGGCCACCCCGCCGCTCCGCGCCACCAAGCCCATCACCGGCCACGCGCTCCCCAGCACCAGCCAACCCACCTGGTCCACAAAACCCGACAGGCATGTTAGCATGCCCGCCCGCATCTTTTTTGACCGCCCCAGCAGCGCCGCGCCACCATCCGGCGACTCCACCAGCATAATCACCACAGGGTCTGTGCGAGGGTACTGGCGGTGCGCCGCGTGGGCGCTGCACTGGCGCCGCGCGCCGCCCTCTACCGATGTGCTGGGCGCGCCGCAGCGGCTGCAGAACAGGTGGGCCTGCGGAGGGAGGCGGGGGAGGGATGGATGGAGGGAGGGAGGCTGGGGGTGCAGCATGCAGCAGCGTGGAGGGCAGCAGAGACGAGCCATCACCCGAGTTTGCTCCATGAGGCAAAGGCACGCCACCCACGCGTGCGGCACCCGCTCCCCCGCACCCCACAGACCTGGTGCCACTGGGAAAGCGCCATGGCGTGCCCCGCGATCGCCAGGTCCCCCGGAGGCAGCAGCGGCATCAGGGATCGCAGGTCTTGCAGGCGCACAGAGTGGTCTTCTGCCCAGCTGGGCGGAGCGCCAGCCACGTCGACCGCCAGCCGCAGCACCTGCCGCTGCCGGTCCTCTCCTAGAAAGTAGATGGGTGCCTGCTTGTCCCCCAGCGACAGGTGCTCGCCGCCGCTGTAGGTGAGGTCCAGAGCCGCCAGGCCCGCTCTGTCCAGCCATCGGACAGCCGTGTCGCCGCCGCCGCCGCTGCCCCCGGCCACCGCGACCCGCGCGTTGGCCACGAGGGTGAATAGCGCGTCTGCGCCTGCGGGCTCATTCAGAACCTGTTCCAGCCGCCGCCCGGCTATGCCGCGCACCAAAGAGTTGCCGGCAAAGGTCTGGCTGGCGAGAACTGGGAGGGCGCGGTGCATGGTTTGCTTTGTATGCGATCCCCTGATCGCCCACAGGTTGCACAAAGGCCGCCAATGCGATCAAATGGGTGCCGGGGACGAGGTTAAGCGCCATCCAGGTCAGCATTTCCGCCAGACCTCCTGGCGATGATGTGAGCCCCCCCGTGTTCTCGATGCTCACTTTCCTGCTGCTGCTTGCGGTGCACATGTCGCAAGGGAAGGAGCTGGACAGCTGCCCAAAACCCAGCCTGCTGCAGAGCGTTGTGCACAGTGTGGAGGCGGCCTGGCTCAGGAGTGCGGAGCAGAGTGAGCCCTCTCATCTCGAGCGGTTGGGGATCGCCCTGGGGGCCGAAGGAAACACAGCACGCCCGCCCACCCGCCCACCCGACTGCTGCCGCTGCCACCCAGGCTCCTCACCAGCTTGCTTGCGTCCCTGCCCCGCCCCGCAGCTCGGTGTTTTTCATTCGAAGTCAAGGATCCCGACGAGGTCATGAGTGCGGTGCGCCTCAGCACGGGTGAGCTCGCCTCGCCGGCACCCCAGCACTTGCAGGGCGGCAGCGGGGTGCCGCTTGAGCCTCTCAGCCGCACGCCATTCCAGCCCAGGGCCTTCACGGTTTTGGGTGGCAGTGTGCTGGCCGTGCCTCAACAAGCGTACATCCCACAGCCCCACCCAAGACGCCTTGCAATCAAGCGCCCTGCAGGGCACATGCTGCCCACGGTGGGGCTGGGCGTGTACAAGAGCGCCAGCGGCGGCGAGTGCTACGCCTCAGTGCTGTCGGCGCTGCGCCTTGGCTACCGCCACATAGACACGGCGCAGATATGTGAGCAGGAGGCGGCAGCGGATGTGTTGACCTGCTGGGGGGGGGGGGGACCTTGCGGTGGGAGGGTCTTACAGCCTGCCAGTAGTAGCCCTTGACTGGCGGCCCTTTGCCGTGGCGGACAGCGACGGGTGAGCCGCCCCTTGCCCTGCTCTTGTGTGCTGCAGACGGGAACGAAGGAGACGTCGGGCGGTGAGCTGCGGGGCAGCTGCGGCAGGGCTTGAGCCGCCGCAACCTGCACCGCCGGATCCTTTGCCCTGGCACCAAGCGCATTGCTCCCATCCCTGCCAGCTGCGCTGCCTGCCCTGCCCCCTCCTGCTGCCGCAGCGCGGTGGCAGACTCTGGGGTGCCGCGTGGAGAAATATTTCTCACCACCAAGATGTGGCTCAGCAACTGGGGCTATGACAAGGCGGCCGCGGGGGTCAGGTGCGGCGGGCTGCAGCGGCCGTCCCTTTCCTGTGATGGCTGGGGCTGTTGCGGAGCAGCCTCAACCTGCCTGCTACCAGCCTGCCTGCCCCACGCCACCTGCCCGCGTGTGCTGCAGGCAGAGCCTGGCGGAGCTGGGCACCCTCTATGTGGACCTCTTCCTGCTGCACGCCCCCGGCGACCCGGGCCTACGGGCCGAGACGTGGCGGGCGCTGGAGGATGCACAGAAGGAGGTGGGAGCCGTGAGGGCAGCGCGGGGCTGCAGAGGGGAGTCTGGGGCGTGCAGGCGCAGCCTGCGATGGTTGGCAGCGCCCACGGCTCTCGGCTGGCTGGCAGCCAGCGCCGACCCGTCCGCTGCCTCCACTCGCCTGCCATGCATCTGCCATGCATTGCACCCTCGCACACAAACACCCCTCCAACCCGGCCTGGCTCCTCAACGCCCTGGCTCCCTTGATCCCCTGCAGGGCTTGATCCGCTCCATCGGCGTCTCCAACTTCGGCATCCCCCACCTCAAGAAGCTGGCGCAGAGCGCGGCGGTGCAGCCGGCGGTGAACCAAATCGAGGTGCACCCCTGGCTGCAGCGGCGGGAGCTGGTGGCGCATTGCAAGGCCGAGGGGATCGTGGTGGAGGTGAGCGCGGCGAGGTGGCGGCGGCGGCGCTGAGGTGGCAGCGGCAACGCTGAGGTGGCGCTGAGCTGCACGGCCAGGCAAACATTGGCCGGCGCCAGCATGCAGCTGCCGCAATCACCCGGTTGGTTGGCCGCAGCTGCCTGCTGCCTCCCCTCCTGCCTCCCGCCCGCGGCCACCATTCGCCACGCCCGCACACTCACACACACCGCCGACGCCGACGACGCCACTGCCGCCGCCGACGCCTGCCCGCCCGCCCGCAGGCCTACTCCCCGCTGGCAAAGGCCCAGAAGCTGGCGGACCCGGCGGTGGGCGCCATCGCGCGGCGCCTGGGCGTGTCCCCCGCCCAGGTGCTCATTCGGTGGAGCCTGCAGAAGGGGCTGGTGCCGCTGCCCAAGTCCAACAACCCAGACCGCCAGCGCAGCAACCTGGATGTGCTGAGGTAGGGTGGCGGCAGTGGAGGGTGGGGTGTTCGCTGGTTGTCGAGGGTCGGGGGTGGGGTGTAGGGGTTGCGCGGGGACGCTGGCGAGGGACGCGGGGGAGTGCACAGGGCCAGGCCGCGGGTGCCCGCTCCCCTCCCTAGGGCGCCGCGTGCCCGGCCGCCCCAGGGACCACCTCAGCTTACGCCCACCCATCCTCCCACCCATCCTACCACACCCGTGCCTGGCCCCGCAGGTTTGAGCTGTCGGCAGCTGACATGGCCGCGCTTGAGGGGCTGGAGGAGGGGTTGATCACAGGCTGGGACCCCATTTCGGATGCACCCGTGTAGCTTTGGGGTTCCCTCTGTGACCTTCTGTCCGTTCTGGTTGCCAAGAATTTGGTGTGGGGTGCATCATCGCAGTAACAGCAGCCCGACCAGGATCGGGCTGTGTGTCGCACCCGCTTCCCGTCCACAGGCTGAGCTCCCAGGCAGACCCTTTGCAGAGGCCGCGCCGCCTCACCGTGTACTACTGCCAGCCGGCGCTGCTTGTAACACTACACCTCTGCTGCGAGGCGAGCCAGCGAGGGGAAGATGCCACTCCCAGAAAGCTGCAGGCCCGATCACGAGCTTGCAGGTCAGCCAGCCGCAGCGGTGCACGCAATGCCAGTAGCGTTTGACCGCCGGCCGCGCGCGTCAGGCGCCGTCCCCCGGCGTCAGCGCGTTGCGCACCACCTGGCCGCCCTTGATGATCAGCTTGAGGTGCTGCTGCGGCTGGGTCAGCACCCCAATGTCCTCAAGGGGGTTGCCATCCACCAGCAGAAGGTCTGCCAGGTGGCCTGCCGCCACCTGGCCGAGCTCGTGGTCCATGCAGAAGAGGCGGGCGCAGTTGATGGTGGCTGCCTGCACCAGGTCCTGCGCACAGGCAGAAGGCGGCAGCAAGGAGCAGAGGAGGCGGATGAAAGGGGGTACATGTATGTACGCCGAAGGAAGAAATCATGCGGCGCATGGGAGGCAGCCGAGGTGGTGGGCTGGCCGGGTGTTGGCGCTCCCTGGCAGGCACACAGGGCAGGGCAGGGCAGGGCAGCGGGTCCCCAGGTGCAGGACAGCTGCCGCCGCTGGTTCCTGCCGCCTGCTGCCGCGCACCTTGGGCGGCAGCACGGCGCTGCGGATGGCAAACTCGCCCAGCTGCTCGCCGTGCAGCTCGCCCAGCAGGTCTGAGCCGTAGCACATCGTGACGCCTTTCTGCCGCGCCACCGCCAGCGCGCTCAGCCCCTGCATGCAGGGATGCAGCACCAGGGCACTCTCCTGGGCCGGCAGCGGCACCAGCCAGAGCAGCAAAGGCAGGGGCATGTATCCGTGGCATGGCCGCCATCTGGCGGCCTGCGTGCCGACCGTCCAGCCCGCCAGCCGGGCAGCTTGCAGGCAGCCACGCATCGCTGCACAGCACTGCCAGCCAGCCAGCCAGCTTGCAGCGAGCCATGCATCGCTGCGCAGCACTGCCTGCCAGCCCGCCAGCCGCACCTGCTCCACCAGGCTGCCCACTTTGGCCACCAGCTCTGGAGCCATGCCCGCCTCCTCCCCCCGCTCAATCAGCTGCTGGTAGGTGACCAGCGTGGGCACCAGGAACGTGCCCCGCTGCGCCATGAGCTCTGCGGCGGCAGGGTGGGAGAGGAGCGGGCACCGCATGACAACAGCGAGGCGCACAGCCCGCTGGGACAGGCAGCTGTGGGCCAGATGAGGCGCGAAGCAGGCGCAGAGCCCAGGGAGAGCGAGGACAGCAGCAAGCCACCAGCCGCAGCCCACACCTGCCGTCGCCTCATCCAGGCAGTTGCCGTGCTCTATGCTGCGCACCCCGCACTGCACCGCGCGCTCAATGGCGGGCACGGTGTACGCATGCGCGCACACGTACGTCCCGCAGGCAGCCGCCTCCTCTACTATCGCCTCCAGCTCCTCCAGGGCAAACTGCGTGTTGGTGAGCCTGCACAAACAGACCGGCAGCGAGCCGAGAGCGGAGCGGGCCGGCGGTTGGACGCAGTGCGCCCGTCCTGTCATCAGCCGGCAGCCACGCCGACGCGGGGCGTGGCAGGCGGTGGCAGCGGTGGCAGCGGGGCGATGGAAGCGCAGCACGCAAAGCATGCTGTCCACCTGTCTGTGGGGGATGACACGCCGCCGGAGGCCATCACTTTAATGCAGTGCGCCCCCTTGCGAAGCTCGTCCCTGGCTGCCCGCCGCACCTGCTTGCATGTCACACAGCCCCAGCGGCGGGCCGGGCAGTGCACACTGTCGGGCGGTGGGGGAGGGCACCAGGCACGCCTGGCCTAACCAAGGGCTGAGACGCGTCTTCCCAACCGCCAGCCGTGTTTTCGCCTCACCTCTGGCACGCCGTCACACACGCGCCCGATGCCCCGCAGCGCCGCCCCGCACCCGCAAAAGTCCTCCCCCCTGCGTCAGGCGGGTAGAGGCAGGTGACATCGACGTAGGCATACGTCGTGGCCAGAGAGGTGAGCGGCGCTGCCCAGGACTGCGGGCACCCTGCGGCCCGCGACTCACTTGCCGCGCATGTCGCCGTGGCCCCCCGTCTGGCTCAGAGCGTGCCCCGTGAACAGCAGGCGGGGCCCCAGGATGCAGCCCTCCTCCACTGCCTGCGCCAGGCCCCAGTCGGCGCCTCCCGCATCCCGCACGGTGGTGAAGCCTCGCTGGAGCATGCCGTGCAGGATGAGCGCGGCCCGAGCAGTCACCAGGCTCTCCGGCAATGCCAGCAGGCCCGGCAGGTTGGCCGTGCAGGCCGTGCAGTGCACGTGGGCATCGCACAGCCCAGGCATCAGCACCATGCCCTGGCAGTCGAGCACGAGGCGGGCGGCGGCGGCCTCTGCCGCCGCGCCGCCGCGGTGCGGCGAGATGGCCTGCACACGCCCCGCAGCGGCCAGGACATCGAAACGCAAGTTGTAATCGCAGATGCCCGCAACTGTGTCCAGCACGCGGCAATTGCGTAGCAAGAGTGGTGGTGGTGGTGGCTGGCCGGCCATGTCTTGAGAACAGCAGCGCTGCAACGGGCGAGGGTGTATGTCTGATCGGTCCGGAAAACACTCCGAGCGAGCAGGCGTCACCAAATGCAACTGGCGGCATCGCCATGTGGCGGGTGAGGTGGCGCCGCCACGTCGAGGAACTTCCTGCTTGCCGCCAGCCCCGCCGGTGCCGGAGCTCCTTAATCTGTCTCCTGGTCACACAAGGAAACAAGTTCAAAGTGATGGCGGCAGTCGGGGGCAGCCTTGGCGTGGGGCCGACGGCGGTGCCGTGTGCTGGCGGCAGCTGGTGCATGGCGTAGGCTGGTGGAATGGCATAGGCTGCAAAGAAGGCAGGGAGGGATGCTGGGGGATTGCCACCGTCGTGCCGCCATCGAGCTACCAGCGGGGTGGGATGGAATGGAGCAAGCTGCGGCACTACAGCCGCTGCCAACAAGGCGACGGCAATCTTGCCCGGTGCCATCCGACATCCTGCCAGCTGAGGCCGCCGTCTGAGCCACCTCACATGTCTGCCGTCAGACATCAACCGGCCTCAACTGCCCTGGCTGGAGGCGGCACTCACCAGGATTCCGGCAGGCGGGATCCTGTTGCGACAGGCGGCATGTCTGCTTGCCCTGGCTGGCGGCGACACTCACTAGGATTCCGGCAGGCGGGATCCTGTTGCGACAGGCGGCATGTCTGCTTGCCCTGGCTGGCGGCGGCACTCACCAGGATTCCGGCAAGCGGGATCCTGTTGCGACAGGCGGCATGTCTGCTTGCCCTGGCTGGCGGCGATACTCACCAGGATTCCGGCAGGCGGGATCCTGTTGCGACAGGCGGCATGTCTGCTTGCCCTGGCGCTTCGGCGCTCATCTCCAGGGCTGCTTGGCTGCAGCACTTCCGCAGCCTGCTTGGCGAACCGCCGCCTCCGCTGCCTGTGCCGCCGCCGCTGCCTGTTGGGGCTGGCCTGCAAGAGGGCAGCCAGGGGCCAGCAGCCACACCAACTACAGCCAGCCAGCCTGCTGCCGCTATCACTGAGGCTGCCGCTGCGCTCCAAGCCCCCTTCTCCGCTGCAGAGGTCGACGCTGCCATTGGCCGCACCCGCAACCGCGCTGCTGTGGTAGGCCCGCTGAAGCCGCCTGTGCTGAAGCGGGTCAGAGCCGTGATGGCACCGGTACTGGCTGACCTCTTCAATGGATGCGCTCGTGTGGGTTGCCTGCCTGGGTGCTGGGCCATTAGTGCCATCACCCCGATCCCCAAGGCAAATGCTGCATCCACTGAGTGCGGCGCATACCGCGGCATCGCCGTTGGTACCCTCCCCGCCAAACTGTATGCTGCTTCCCTTGACCGTCGCTTGGCTGGCTGGGCAGAGGGGGCGGGTGTGCGGGCTGAGGGCCAGTTTGGCTTCCGCCGCAAGCGCAGCTGCGCGCAGGCCGCTCTGGTGCTCCGTGCTACCATCGAGCGGTGCCGCTCCCGCCGCCAACCCCTGTACGCTGCTTCATCGACTTCCAGAAAGCCTACGCCACGGTGCCCCGCCACCTGCTGTGGGCTAAGTTGGAGACGGTGGGGGTGGGCGGCTGGTGCTTGAGGGCTGTGCAGGCGCTGTATGCCGATGTGCCTATGTGTGTGCGGACAGCTGAGGGCTGCACTGACGCCTTCCAGTCCCTGCTTGGCCTCAAGCAGGGCTGCCCTCTCAGCCCCATGCTGTTTGGCCTATTTGTGGACGACCTGGCAGCAGCAGTGGCAGCGGAGGCTGGGGCTGCGCTGCCATGCCTGGGCGATGGCCGCCCTGTACCCCCACTGATGTATGCTGACGATTTGGCCTGTCTAGCCACAACGCCTGCTGGCCTGCAGCGCCAGCTCGACAGGCTGGAGGCATATGCGGCTGCGTGGGGTCTGACGGTCAACGTGGGCAAGACCAAGGTGGTGGTGTTCGCAGCGGCGGCGGGCTGCGCCTGCGGCCGTCCAGCCACCATCCACCACAGGCCTGCCCTTCACTTATGGCGGTGCTGCCATTGAGGCGGTCGACGAGTTTCGGTATTTGGGTGTAAGCTTTAACAGCAGCCGTGCATTTGCTACTGCAGCAGCAGCACGCGCTAGTGCTGGGGGGCGCGCTTTGCATGCTGTGCGGCGCCGTTGTGCTGAGCTGGGGCTACGGGGTGCCAGGGTGCAGCTGCACATGTTTAATGCCATGGTGTTGCCGGTGTTGTCTTATGGGGCTGAGATCTGGTCCCCCCAGCTGATTGCTGCAGGCTCCCAGTGCGCTGCCATGCAGCAGCAGCTGTCTTTCCTCCGCCAGCTATTGGGCGTGCGGCAGTCCACGCCAGCGCTGGTGTTGCTGGCGGAGACAGGCCAGCAGCCGCTGGCAGCGCGCTGGGCAGCCCAGGTGGGGCGGTTCTGGAACAGTGTGTTGTCGGCTGATGAGGCCAGTCTTGTGCAGCGTGCTTTGCATGACAGCTGTGCATTGGCTGTTGAGGCCGGGGGTGTGGGGTTGGCAGGGCAACCTTGGGCTGGTCAGGTGGCAGCAACGTCGCATGCATATGGGGCTACTGTGGATTTGCGCCAGCCCCAGCCTGTGGGTGTGTCTGACATTGTCGAGGCTGCCGCAGCTTCCTTCCGCCAGCAGCTGTACACTGCGCAGGGCACCCGCATCCGTGAGTACGTTGCTGCCACCGGTGCCGACACAGCCGACGGACTGCCTGGCTACCTTTTCACCCTCCAGCACCGAGGCCGCTGGCGTGCGTTGGCGCAGCTTCGCACCGGCTCGCATTGGCTGGCGGAGGAGTTGGGGCGCTGGCAGCGTCAGCAGCGGGCGGACCGGCTCTGCTCTCATTGTGCGGCAGCGGGCGAGCGGCATGTGGAGGATGTGCAACACGCATTGTTTCGATGCCCACGGGCTGCGCAGCTGCGCGCTCAGTACCCCCTGCTTTTCACCCCTGCACATACTGAGTCTGTGTATGCATTTTTCACTCTCCCTGATGCCATCCAACTTTCCAGTTTCTGTCGTGCTCTGTACAGATTGCACCGCCACTAACTCCTAACTTCCTGTTGTGCCTCCCTCTCTCCCCCTCCCCCCTCCTCCTGTTCTTGTCTGCTTTCTTTTGTTGCTTGCCTGCCTGGCCCCTGGTTTCCTACCCCTATGCATTTTGCTCGTGCTTTCTACTCCTAGTTTTCATGTTGTCTGACCTACCTCTCTTCCCACCCATTCATCTTCCACCTTCACCCCGCATGCATAACAGTCTGTGACGGTTCAGTGATTGACCAAAGACAGACTACATATAATGTAATTTTCTACTTTCCTGGCTGGCGGCGGCACTCACCAGGATTCCGGCAAGCGGGATCCTGTTGCGACAGGCGGCATGTCTGCTTGCCCTGGCTGGCGGCGACACTCACCAAGATTTCGGCAAGCGGGATCCTGTTGCGACAGGCGGCATGTCTGCTTGCCCTGGCTGGCGGCGACACTCACCAGGATTCCGGCAGGCGGCACTCTTGGCCATCCCTGACCCATCCTCCCGCCCCCTGATATCCAGGTGTATGTGCTACACCAACTGCGCCATTTGAAGAGACCACCCCTACTCGCTCATCCATGCGCTTGAGCACACTGGCGATGCAGCACTTGCAGCCAAGGTCGTGGAGGAAGTGCAGACAATTCTTCAACAGGTAGCGGAACAATTAGGAAAACTTGATGTGTAAGCAACGGCAGAGAAAAGATGCAAGCAAGTGTCAGCTGGCGCTCTCCCTCCACTGGTGCGGCTTCCCTGCCACGTGCATGGCGATGCGGCAATGAGCGCTGTACTTCGTCAAGCGCTCCAATGTCTTCCAAGCCTGCATTCCATGGATGAGGCAATCCCGGTCCTCCACCCAGAGAGCCCCGGTCCTCCACCAAAACTCTATGTGTGCTTGTGTGGATGTGGGCTGTGTCATTCCATACACTCCGCCCAAACCGGTTGTTCTTCAAGCCAGGCCTCCTCCACCCACCTCACTCCACTCCGACTCCGGCCGGCTCTTCCACGCCATATGCTTGTTGTAAACTGTTTCGTCTTCGGCTGCCTTTTTTATGTACTCTGCCAGGTCCTCAGTGCTGCAACCTCACCAATGGCGGGCATGGCTGACAGTCCCATGATGCATCATGCTGGCACACCAACACAACCAGCTCAGCGTCCTTTCCGCCCACCTGTTGAAGTCAGACACACGCACTATTGCTTCAGGCACAGGCAAAAACCGGTCGATATCAGGCGCCCCCATATACAGTGGCACGGTGCCTGCACAGGAGAGACAACGTCTTTAGAGTGGACTGTGACCTCCCCAACAACCAAATGTAGCCTCACCTGCCAATAGTGCATGGTACACCTTCTCAGTCACGTAGCCAGGGTCGTTTGAGTTCTCCGGTGTGAAGGCAAACTTGTATGTGGAGAAGGTCTGCGGCATGGTGGTGGGCACGGGGATCAGATGGGGGAGGTGACACATAAGCGCACAATGTAGACGACAGAGAGTGTTGGGAAGAGGTGATGGGCACACGCCGGCCGGAGACCCCAACGCAACATTATGCACACCGCTAGCTTGGAGTCGCTGGTCTCTTTGTTGCGCTGGCAGCCGCCATACGAATGCACCAGCCCGGGAAGAAGCTGCAACACGACGGACAGAGAGCAAGACATGAGACCACGGTAGTTGTCATATAGTGTCATGCTTGAGTCGCCCACCGCACCTCAATCAGCCGTGCCAGAACCTTCTCTCTGTCGTTCTTGGGCCCGCAATTAGAAATGAACACTGCTACCAAGCCATCCTGCGACCATAGTCCAAACAATCAAGCGTGTTTCACGCGGCAGTTGTCAGCCACTCTTGGTTGCCGCACAAGAAGGGCCTTGCCAAGCTTGAGTCCCATGAATGCATGCATACCTTGCGCTTCTGAGCAAACGGCACGGGAATGACCTTGAAATTGGGGTACTCCCAGCGCGTGTAATATGTCACGGGGACATCTGACTCGAGCCGATAGTCTGCATATCACGTGGCGGCAAGTGATAAAAAAAAAAAAAAAATGTCTGCGCAGTAACGTAAGTGGCAGCACGTGTTACGGATGCAGGCGATAGGAGGCTGGGCCACATGCCTCCGTACCAGCGGTGATGTTGGCGCCGGATTCTTTTGCCGAATAAATGGTTGGATAGTACTACCTTTACCTTTTACTGCCCACTCTCCATCGCATACATCACCACCCATTGTCCTTGGGGGCGAGAGTTGGCTTCCCCCCAGCCAGCCATGCCGTCCAGCGTGTTGTAGATCACTGTAAGGGCAAGGGGCAGAGGGAGGGATGGGGCAACTGTCTTGAAACAGGCATGGCAGGAAGGGAGGCTGTCCACTTTGCATCTTCTACCGCCTCACCGACATCCGCCTTCTGCTTGTCCTCGGTGTAATCCCAGGGCACGGGGCAAGGAAACGCATCGCACGCAAATCCCGGCTTCTCCCATCCTGGTGGGCATGCTGGCAGGTGGTGGTAGGCACGGCCCACATCGAAGAACAACAACGGCTCAGCCTTGCTTCCAGGCTCGGCCTTGCTTCCAGGCTCAGGTGCCAGGCTGCCAGGCTCGGAGCCCGGCTTGTCCTCTGCACCGCTGCCGCCGCCGCTGCCCTGCTCAGCCTCTTCTGCTGCACCGCCCTGTGCGGTGCTTGTGCTGCTGCTGGTAATGTTGCTTGCACCGTCCCCGCTGCTATTCTCCTTGCCGCTTCGCAACACCACCAGCGCCGTGCTGGACTGAAAAAATGTAGCCCCGACTATGAGGCACAGCACCGCCACGACAGCTAGCCGTGATAGAATTACGCCCTTGCCCTGGGGCCGCAGCTGGCCCCTCTTTCGAGCAAGAGCCATGGCCTGTGGGGCGGAGGGCAGGGGCTGGTCAGGCGGCGAGAGGCGGCGACCGCCTCAATGCCGCACCCGCCCTGCTGCTGCTGCTGAGCTGCCACAGGTGCGAGGACCAGCTTGGCCTGCTGTGTGACACGCAGCTGTAGCGCCACACGCAGCAGGTGCAGTCTGTCCAACTCAGGCAGCTTGCATATCAATGCGGTATTTGGTCGAACTGGCTCAATACTTGGCCTTTTTGGCCGCAGCTCTGCGAGGCGGCGGAGCGCGCTGGTACAAATGTACGGCACAAGGCACAAAGCGCTGCGCTGCCCTCGCGGGTGGCAGTAGGTGAGTGCTGTGGGGCTGTACTCCACCGCCAGCGCTCTTGCAACCAGCACAACACGGGGTATCAAGGGAAACTTGTAAACCCCACCGGGAGACGCCAGCGCTGGCTGACGCCTCCATCGGAAGGTAGAGAAAGCAGGGCATGAAGCGTCGGAGGACGCAGGATGCGGCAGCAGAAGATGCGGGGGCAGAGCCGGCGGCGGCAGCCCACCCGCCGCCCACGGAAGTGAGCTGCCGGCTTCCAAGAAGCAGCGGCAGAAGGAGCCGCGGCACGCCATGCTGCCCGCATTACCCACGGTGGTGCCTCCGGCTCCAAAACCAGGAGCAGACCGTGCAGCATAGGCAGCTTCGTGCAACTGGGCCGCGCTCAGATCGGCCATGGAGCAGCAAAATGGCCAGCCATGCTGGCGCAAGAAGCGTGCCGCAGACGGTAGCGTCGAGGCTGCGCAGGACGCTGTGCCTGCCAACCGTCGAGGCAGCAGCTGCCGGGGGCCGCCGTGGCGTGGTGAGGCGAGTGCTGCCGTGTAGCAGGGGCGGCTGGGGTGCCGCTGGCCGCCGCATTGCCTGCCCACCTCGCCGGCAGCCCCGCACAGGCTGCCGTTCCAGGGCCTGCTTGCTTGGGGCACAAGACAACAGGTCCACAGAGGCAGCAGCTGTCGGGGGCCGCCGTGGCGTGGTGAGGCGAGCGCTGCCGTGTAGCAGGGGCGACTGGTGTGCCGCTTGCCGCCGCATTGCCTGCCCACCTCGCCGGCAGCTGGGTTGTCTGCTTGCCGCATCCAGACACAGACCCCAGTCACGCTCGGCCAATACGCTGGAAGAGCACTCTCAAGGGTTGGTGGTCTCTGAGGGCACAAACAGCTAAACACGTATATACATCGAAGTAATGTACAAAGAAGCGAGCTGTGTGTCAGGAGTTGCCTAACGGCGAGAACATAAGGCAGACAGAGGGGACGCCCCAATGCGGGCGTGGGCGGGGAGCGGGCAGCAATAGCGGCAGGGCAATTCGACAGGAAGCGGTACGGGTGCAGACAGCATGTATGGCAGCAGTGTAGCCTCACGGCGCCTTGCCCCCGCCCGCGGCCCGGCTGTGCAGCCAGATGTGGTCCCGCAGCTGCTGCTCGTTAGCGCCAAAGAACTGGTCCACCTTGCGCCCCTTCTTGTACACCGCAAAGGTGGGGGTGTAGGTGACGCCCTTGACCACCTCGTGCATGTAGTCCACCTGGAGGGGCAGGAGAAAGGAAGAGAGCGAGAACAGTGGTTACCACAGCATTCTGGGCGTCGGACGCTCGGAGTGCAGCGTGGCGTTCCGGCCACTGTGCCACAAGTGGCGGAAGGATGTGCTGCTGGAATGATTGAGCACTGCTGCCTGCCTCCACCTACAGCATCTGGGCTGCCGCGCACCTGCGCCACCGCGTACTTCAGCTGCGGGAACTGCTTGGACAGGGACACAAAGGCGGGGAACATCTGGTGGCAATGCGTGCACCAGGAGGAGCCAAAGTTAACCACAACCTGCAGGCCGGGAAGGGGTCGGGGTTGACAGCGACACATAGCATTGCGAGGTGACGGCAGCAGGCATGTGGGCTGCCTGGAACGGTGCGGCGACTCCAGCCAGGTACTTCAGTGCATCCCAACCCAGTCCAGTCCCAACAGAGGCAGCGCACAGAGCTTTACCGTGTCGTTGCGGCTGCGATGCAGCAGCTCCTCCAGCTGCTCGTCTGTGCGCACGCCCGTCATGTTGGGCAGCACCTTGACGACGTGCGACTTGCGCACCGGCTGCAGCCCAAGGAGAGGCGCAGGCAGGCATGTTCACAAGCCCGGGCGGCGGGCGGTGGTGGCGGCGGAAGTCGGTCGGGTGGTTTGCAGCTCCCCACCTGCAGCCTGGCCCAGGATGTCGGTCTGAACCGCTCAGACGGCTGCTCGAACTCGTCGCGCAGGCGCCAGGCCCACTCTGCCATTACGGGGTGTGGCTTTGCCAGGCCCTTGGGCTGTTTGCAGAGGATTGTGGACGTGCTGATGGGTTGCAAAGAGAAGAACCAGCTCAATAGGCGCCGAATTGGCGCCAGGAAAGGCTTGGAAAGGGCCGGCCCATCTTGATGGCGCCCGCCATGCATTGCCGGCCGCATCATTGCAACACTAGCCACATTCCCGCCGATATCCCCAGAACTCGACAATGGCTGCCCAGGTGGCCGCATGCTCCCGCCCCACCATGCTGCAGTGCAGCCCATCTGGCCGCACCACCCAGCGCACCCCGGCGGCCTTCCACGCAGCGGCACCCGCCAGGCGCATGGCCTCCGTGAGCAGCATTAGCGGCGCGGCCAGCCTGGCCGCCGCGGCACCCGCCCGGGCCGCCACTCGCTGCCGTGCCGCCGCCGCCGTCTCCGTCCGCAGCGAGATTAGCTGTGAGTGGCTGGAGGCAGCAGTCAAGCACCCGTGCCTGCGCGCAACGGATTACCGTTGATGTGAACCAAGCTCGCCATGTGTCTGGCTGGCGCTCGAGCTCGCCTACCAGTGCCGCTTCCTTCGCTGGCCACTGGTTGCTCCGGCCCACAGCCTCCCTCGCCCGCCTGCCATGCCCTCGCAGACGTGATGATCAAGCCCGACGGCGTGCAGCGCGGCCTGGTGGGGGACATCATCAGCCGCTTTGAGCGCAAGGGCTTCAAGCTGGTGGCGCTCAAGCTCTTCCAATGCACTAAGTGAGGTTTCTGGGAGGGGGTAGCGGCCGTGGGGCCCCTCGCCTGTGGCCCGAGGGGGATGGGGGGCACCTGCCGCTTGCACTCCCCATTGCCAGCGCTGTTCGAAGCAGCATGCCCGCTCCCCTGGTCGGGCACGCTGTCAAAATCGGCGCCACAGCAGCGCGTGCGCCGCGCCCGCCACGTGCGGCAGGCGGCCACAATGGCCTGGCTTGCCTGCCCGCGGGCGCAGCACCACATCCACTCATTCACTGCCCAGCCAGTCGCCATGCACATACACGAGTGTACACATACCATGCCACATACCATGCCCCTGCACGCCCTCCCTCAACCCGCCTTTCTGCAAGAGCCTCATTGTCCCCATCGCTCGTACTCTACAGTCCCAGGGCCCCTGTTCAGCGGAGCTGACTCGGCCCGCCTGCTTGCCCCTGCCTAACCCCGCTTGGCTGGTGCAGGGAGGTTGCGGAGGAGCACTACAAGGACCTGTCCAGCAAGCCCTTCTTCCCCGCCCTTGTCGAGTACATCCTGTCGGGCCCGGTGGTGTGCATGGTGCGAGCCAGTTCTCAATCATCTGTAGTGCACCGGCGCCTGGCATGCCTACAAGCAGTTACGGCCCTCGTCGATCAGCCGCCGCCTCACGCGTGCTGCCGCGCATGCCCCGCCGCCTCCCCCAAGTGCTGCAGGTGTGGGAGGGCGAGGGCGTGGTCAAGTCTGCCCGCAAGCTGATTGGCGCCACAAACCCGCTGGAGGCGGAGCCGGGCACCATCCGTGGCGACTTTGCGGTGCAGGCGAGCGGGGGCTGGCTGGGGGCTGGGTTTTGGGCAGCGGGTTTTGGGCAGCGGGTTAAGGTCGACAGCACACAGAGGGCTCGTGCGCGTGCCTCCATGCCTGTCCCTGTCCCACTCTGCCTGCAGGTAGGCCGCAACGTGGTGCACGGTAGCGACTCGACGGAGAATGGGGAGCGCGAGACAGGTCCGCCGCTGGCTGGTGTCGGCGGGCCTGCATTCAATACAACAAACAGTTGGCTTGACTGATCACGCTGTTCCCCACCTGCTGCCTCTGCAGCCCTGTGGTTTGGCAAGGATGCGCTCGTGGCCTGGGAGCCCGCCCTCAAGCCCTGGCTGCTCGAGTGATCCGGGGGGGGCGCCAAGCAGCTCAGCACCGCAACCGCTGGACACGCATCATTGAGAGCCCCTTAGCACTGCCAATTTTGAACGATATTCTGATTCGCAGGGGCTCATTGCTCCTTTTGGAACACAGTGCTGGAACAAGCCTGGTCAGATGGGGGCAGAGATGGGCCGGCGGGGGGCGACAGCACGGACAGGCGGCGGAGGGGATGGTAATGCAGGCTGTGACCCACAGCCCAACCTGTGCACCGCCACTTCGTATAGATGGTGAAGCGGGCAGGCAACTGCTGTCCGACTCGAAAATTAAATTGCATACAGCAGCAGCCCTGGCGGCCAGTATCGAGAGTAGAGGGAGCAGGAGAGGGAGCTAGTGGGATGACAGGATAGAGAGGACTAGGGTTGAGTGAAAAAGGGGGCGAAAAGGAACGGAAGGCCAGCCGCAACATTGGGCACGGGACATCAATGTGCCGCTGCCGGTGCTGCCACGGCGCCGGCGCTACGCTCCCAGCAGGAGCTCCATTGCCTGGTTCTCATCCCCGTTTGCCGCCTTGAGCGCCACCACCGCCTGCTCTCGCGCGAAGCCCATCTCGACTATCTGCTGTACCTTGGCCTCCAGGCCCACCACCTGCTGCTGCAGCACCCGGGAGGCCAGGGCGGCGCCACCAGAGCAGGCCCACCATCAGCTGCGACGAAGAAGCACAGCGAAACCACGCCACAGGTTGGCAGCAGGTGCAGCAGCAGCCTCACCGCGTGCGCGTACGTCTCCGTCCACTGCTTGGCCGTCTGCTGGTAGTCTGCAAGGCTGCCCATGTACTGCCGCGCCACCACCGCATCCTGCGGGTCGTCTGGCTGCGGCGAGGACAGCAGCGCCTGCAAGGGGGGGCATGGGGGAGGCGCGAGAAGGTGGCTGGATGTATTCCCGCTGCCAACAGTTGGGCGGCAGCCAGGCGAAAGCGGTAGAGTGGCCTGAATGCCTGCCTGCCTTCCTGGAGCAGCAGCAGGAGCCAGCAGGAGCAGCCGGCAGGAGGAGCAGCAGGCGGGGCGCGGCGGCGCGCCTGCAGGCTGAGCAGCGCGGTTTTCAGCGTCAGCGCGGGGCTCCACTGGTCCTTGAGGATGTCTAGGCAGATGGCGCCATTGGCGGAGCTGATGTTGGGGTGCCAGACCTGCGGCCACAGGCAGCGGGCTGGTGGGTACCGGAATGTGGCGCTACAAGCGGCACGCACAGAGCGGTTCGCCAAACGAGACGAGCTGGCAGCACGCGGCTGTGCTCGCCAGCCAGGTAGGGGCGGCGGCACCTTTGTGATGAACCGCATCTTGGGCGGCACAAAGGGGTACTGGTCGTCTAGCTCGATGTTGACATAGAAGATGCCGCCCTCAAACGACGTGTCACGCGGGCCTGCAGGCGGGCGGCGGCGGCGCGGCGGTCAAACCTGCTGCCCGGGCGGCCGGCCAGCAGCGTGACGGGGGAAGTCCACAGGCGCCACAACCCACCCTTGAGGCAGCCGATCAGCTTCTGCAGCGAGTTGCCTTGCGGCTCTATGGTCACGCCGCTGGCCTTGTCTCGCTCGATGTCTCTGACTTCTTTCTGTGGCACAGAAGCAACGATCAACTAACCAGCCATGGAGAACAGCAACAGCAACTGGTTGGCAGAGCCGCAAGGCATTGCGCGCTCCACTCCAGAGGCCGAACCTGAACTCTTCCAAGATCCAGCATTGCTAGGCTGCCGCAGCCCGCCGGCTACGTCTGGGATGGCTGTCGGAGCCGCCGGGGCAGGTGCTGAACACTGCTGCACGCTGGGCGCGAGGTAGAGAGTAGACGCGGGCGTGGAGAAGGATCAAGCAAACAGCAAGTCGAGTTGCCGAGTGATCACGAGGCACCCAGGCCGGCGCCACAACGCTGTGGCCGCTGACGGGGCAGGCGGCCATTGGCTCAGCTCTCCATGCGTGTATTCTGTAAAGTTGCAGGTTGTCGATAGGCATGCATTGGCAGGCAACAGTGGACAGGCGCAAGCACCCAGATTGGGCGTACATGGCAAGCAAGCACACAGATCGGCGGCGGGGCACTGGCAAATAATTCGCACATGAAGAGGAAAGGGATTTGGTGATGATTGGGGGTGATCAAATGTCAGAGGGAGTACAGATGGGGCGAGTCATGTGGCGTGAGTGAAAATGGATGTGGAACGGGTGGCATGGCGGCAGCTAGCATTGCTGGCTCCACAGGGCATTTATTTCTGAGCAGGAGAATTCTTCGAAGTTGAAAAGCCATGCCACAATAGCGGCCAGCCGGAAGGAAAGCTCACACACTCACACTCAGAAGGCGGCTTCCACCGTCACCTCTGCAAGCTGCAGCACGTCGGTGCTGACGCCCGGCTTGCTCCTGCATAGGCAGTCGCAGCGGAAGGGAGCAGGGTGAGTGAACCAACCAAGTCGCAGTGCTTGGAAGCAGGAAAGCAGGACAGCAACGCCAGTGTAGGGGCCACGGTCTGGGGGCTGCCCACTGCAGCAGGCCTGGCAGCAGCGGGCAACCATGCCCTGTGACTCACCGAATCTGGAGCGTGATGTATCGGCCGCGCAGCGGGCGCGCGCACTGCAGCCGCAGCAGCTGCCCCAGCGCGGTGCCGGCCTGGCCGGGCAGCAGCGCGCAGCGGGCATTGAGCGTGTGGGGGCTGCCCCCCGCGCTGGCCGCCGCCGCGGTGCGGAGGCTGGGTGGGGTGGACCCGACTCGCGCCTCCAGGTCGTGCATCCAAGCCAGCTTGAACCGGGCATCCTTGCGCAGCCTGACCTTGACTGCACAGAGGGGGAGGGGAGTGGGCAGGGGGCGAGCGCCAGGGGCGGCTGGTGAGGTGTGGGGCTGGGGCGCAGGGCGGTGGGTCGGGGGTCGGCCAGGCGAGGGAACACACGCATGCACGCGCGGCAGGCAGCAGGCAGTCCCCACGAGGCTCGCCAGCCAGGGGGACGGGACCCAAGGGCCCCGCTCGCACCTGCCGTCACGCTGCGCGGCTGCTGCAGGTCCACAACCCACCAGGGCCAGGCCTGGGGGCGGGTGGCGCTATAGGTGGAAGCGTTGCCATCGCGGGCCATGGCCGCCGCCCACAGCGGCCCCGGCCTGCTGCTCTGCCACGTGCGCCTGCTCTCCAGGCTCAGCGCCCGCACCACCAGCGGCGGAGGAGGGGAGGGCGGCGGCGGCCGCGGCGGCCTGGGCGACCGCGGCGGCGGCTTGGGCGGCCGTGGGGAGGGCGGGGGAGGGCGAGGCGGCGGCGAGGGGCGCGGCGGCCTGGGCGATGGCGGCGGCGGTTTTGGTGGCCGAGGGGAGGGTGGGGGAGGCTTTGGAGGCCTTGGCGGCCTAGGTGACGGCGGGCGGGGGCGCGGCGGCGGCGAGGGCCGTGGCGGTGATGGCGCCGCCCCTCTCAGCACTGCAAGCAGCAGCGGTGGGTGCGGCGGGTGAGGCAGCAGGCAGGTGGCAACCGGCGTGCAGCTTCTGGCACTGCGGGCGCTTGCCCACACCCAATGCCAGCCAAAGCAAGAGAGGGAGGGAACAACACAACAGACAGGTGGTGGACGTGCAGTTTGCGTGTGTAGACAACAGACAGGTGGCGCACCTATCCCAGACTCCACATTGGGGTTCAGAATGACCTCAGACTGCACCGCCGTGGCTGCAGCACAGGAAGGCAGCCGCGTGATGCATGGTGGGCAAGTGGCATGCGGGGGTGGCGCCCAGGCCGCAGCGTCTGCCCTCTGCTGCCCGTCCGCGCCTCACCGCTCCACAGCAGGCAGTGCACGGTGACGTAGTTCCTTGTGGTGGAGGCGGGCGGGCGGAAGAAGACGTACTTGCCGCACCGCACGTCCAGGATGCAGGCTGCGGGGGGTGAGGGGGAGGGGCAGGGGCATGGGGCAAAGGACAAATTCAGTGGCAAGGTCAGGCAGCAGGGGTGCACGGCGTGTATGTGTCAGTGGGGGTGGGGGTGAGGGTGGAGAGTGCAGCAGGCTGAGAGGTGCAGCCAGGCCAGGTCACCGCAGGGCGGCGCGGCGGCGGCGGCGGCGCCGAGCTAGCGCCAGCTCAGCGGCTCACTCTGCGTGCACAGCGTGTAGTTGGTGGTGGGGAGGGCCTCGAAGTAGGCTGCAGAGTCCACCCAGTGCAGCCAGCGCTCGCCGGGGCTGGGCACCAGGGTGCCTGCAAGGGGCAGGGGCGTGGGGAGCCCAGCAGGCAGGCCATGCGTGGCAGTCGGGGCGCTTGCACAGTCAGGGCAGGGCTGGCGCAGCAGGGTTGGTAGTGGCGCGCGATGCCTGGCTGTCAGAGGGCCGGCCGGGAAGCGGCGGCAGGCAGCACAGGCAGCCCACGGTGGCGCCGCGCACCCGTGCCGGGCGGGCTGGGCGGTGAGGGCGGCGGCGCCGCGGTCTGGCCGTACAGCAGCAGGCGCAGCGCTCGGGCCGCGTTCAGCTGGCCGCCCCTGCACACCAGCGCAGCGGGCACGCGGCGGTCACAAGCTGTAAGAAGGCCGGGCCAGGCTAGCAGGCCAGGCGCTCAGGGAGCCGGGCCCCAGAGCTCAGCCCACGTGTCAGGCTGTACAGGCGACACAGCCATGCAGATCCACTGTGAATCGAGTACGAGATGCGGGACAGGCAGCGGCACAGGCAGCGGTACGGCAGCGGTACGCACGAGGACACCAGCGATGCCGCCCCCACAAAAGGGTCCACGCTGCCCAGCAGCGCCTGCTTCACTTCCGCATACCCCACCGCCCGCTGCAGCGCCGCGTCTGCCGCGTTGAACAACATGGCGGCGGCGGCGGCCACCAGCGGCGTCGCCATGCTGGTGCCGCTGCAGCGGGAGGAAGGGAGGGCAGGGGGGAGGGTGTGAGGTGGTGAGGAGGGAGGTGGAGCGATCGCTTCCAGCGCCAGTGGGTGGCGGCAGCGATGAGCGGCTGGGACAGCCAGACGAGCCCAGCAGCCGGAGGCGGCGCTCAGGCTGGGGCAGGGCGAGGCAGGCGGCAGGCTGGCTGGCTGGCTGCGGCTTGCCTGAGCTGGGTGTAGTTGTTGGCAGGGTAGGTGGAAAGGATGTAGGAGCCGGGCGCCGCAATCTGAACCACTGCACCACAGGAGCGGC